AGGATAGTCACTCACTTCCATGCCCTCAGCAACATCTGCAAAGTCCCTTTGTCACAAGAGGTGACACAGCTGCAGGTTCTGGCCTTGAGATGTGGGTGACCTTCAGGGGCCTCTGTGCAGCCCCTCGGGACACGGACAGGACCCCACACCTCCTCCTGGGAACTTCGTCCAGCACTGGCTTACAGCATGTGTCATTCAGCAGCCGGAATGCCCACATCTCAGATGATGAAGAGAGGCGCACACAGGGCTTTGCCAGTGTGGAGACTCCTAGACAGGCTGAGAGGACCAGACACAGGGCAACATCAGCCTTGCCAAGCAAGTCATGAAGCGTGGCACGTGGATAGCAGTCCCCTTGAAGCAGGGAGAGCTCAGATCTCAGGTTCCGGCCCTAAACCCCGTTCTGGACAGTTATTCCAGGCGCCTGCGAGGGCTTGGCAATAACTGTTGGTGACAGAATGATCACCCCACTGAGTCAAATAGGGTCACTTGAAGACAGCAATCCTGTGGATCACTGGTGGCATCATACATGGTGTGGATATGCTGGCCAAGACTGGGCAGGACGGAGTGGGGCGGTGCCAGATACCACTGGACATCTCATCGAGGCGAACACTGAAAAACCCAGGAGTACACAGGGAGGGCCTGTCCCAAAGGGGGGAGGGGAGGAGGGGAATTGTGAATTATTTATGTATGGAATTTTCCCCAAGATACTTTCAGACAGACCACAGCTGACCACAGGAAAATGCATGGACGAGGAAGACCATGGCGCTTGCATGCAGTGCTGAGGGAATACGCTTATCGCAGCATGGTACACGGCCACTTCATACAGATCCTTTAACAAGAAAGGGCTGTTTGACTATCTTCGTGGAGAGCGGCAGGGGTTGGCCATCCTCCTGAGCAGGCCTCTTCCCAGGCGCACAGGCCTACCTCCCCTTCCCACCCCAGGAGCATTGCTGTATTTAAAGACTCACATTTTATTTCTCATGTGCACACATGCAGTACCTGTGGAGACCAGAGGAGGGATTCTGATCCCCCTGGAGCTGGATTTATAAGTGGTTGTGAGCTGTCTGATGAGGGTGTTGGGAACTAGATTTCCCTTAGCCACCAAGCATCTCTCTAGCCCTGGTGCTGTATTTAAAGGGTACTTCAAGGCCATCGTAATCTACCAAGAGAGGTCTAAGGGGTTCCCCAAGGAGTCTATGGCACCCCTAGAGCTAGTCTCCTTGTTCCTGTCCCCAGCCTTGCTGGAGCCATTGCCAAGATGGCCTGGAATTTCTGACAAGGATGCCACGGGCAGTTTCTCACTACTGGATGAGCCCTGACCTGCAGGCTGAGAATGGAGCAAGATGGCCCCATGACTCTCTGCCCTCTCCATGGCCACAGTGATGATCCCCGGGGATAAACAGTCACTCTGCGGTGGCAGCACAGCTGTGGGTGGCTCTTGCTGGACCCAAGGCTCTGCCAGTCATTTGCCATCTCTACCCTTTTAACACTGGCCTCCAGCTCCCTACCTTGGTCTCCGCATTCAAAGCCCATTGGGAGGGTGTAGATAACACAGATTAAGGCTTAAAGCCTGGGATGGCAGCTTTTCTTCTAGATGACCCTGGGCTGCCTCCCTACCTCCAACAGGAGAAGCCAGGCGCCAGGAGTCAGTGTTCAGAGCGGTGACATCAGCAATGACAATGCGGCCAACCACACACCAGACCCCATATCATGCGCCCCACCATCCTCTCGTGGGAACCTTTGCTTAGCAAGTAGCCTGCCTTGGGCACCTGGCAGTGACAGTACAGTTGAACACAGGTTGCTTCTATTTTCAAGGCCAGGGGCTAAGCAGCTGGTTTCTGATGGCTGGTGAGGGCCTGATGCCTCCCGCCTTTCCTATCAGCCACACTCAGGCCAGACCCCACAACTTGGCACCTGCCAGTAACCTAAGACTACCCAGAAGGAGACTAAGGGACTTCGCATACCTGCACATGCTACACATTGGGGGTCCCACATTATGTGGAGGTAGCCTGGGAGGGACACACCCATCAACTGGCCTGTGTGTGTGTGTGTGTGTGTGTGTGTGTGTCTGCTGGTGCACAAAGATACACACACCTTCTCCCTGCATCCTCCCTCTACCTGTCCCTTCGCCCACTAGGGAAAACACAACAGAGCATCAGAGGAGACAGCCACACTGAGTGGCTGGCCAGGACCCAAGGGGATGGTGACTCACTTAGATGCACACGCACTCCCAGGCTGACCCCAGCTTCCTTGAGTCTCTCTTGTCCTCCTAGCCCGGCCTCTGGGCTTTCCTGAGGTTGTGCAGACCGCTGTGTGCCAAGCCCTATTCAGTTGTTGACTCTTACACTTTGAGGAAGGCAGGCCAAAGACAGGGGCTAGCTCAGGCAGGGATAGGGGCTGGAGCAGCATGGCTCCTCTGCCACAGATGAGGAAACAGAGGCTCAGAGAGAAACACCAACCACTGACGGGGGGAAGACTCCCCCGAATGTACCTAGGTCCGACCCCACCTCCCTGCTCCCGCATCCCATGGCAGCTATGTAGAAACTACCTCAGGGTCCCCGTTTTCATTTTTAACATTGGGCATCTGGTGCTGGGATGAATGGGACATCAGGTCTGTGGAAGGTCTGGTCTCCCATGATGCTTGTTTGCTTCTGCTTCTCAAACCCTCCTCATTCAAGAACTCATCTGAAGCTGAGCACTCAGCAGGCAAAGGCAGGCAAGTCTCTGTGAGTTTAGAGCCAGCCTGGTTTACATAGTGAGCTCCAGGATAGCCAGGGCTACATAAATAGACCTCGTCTCCAAAACAACAAAGAATCCACGTGGGACCTGACAGGGCTATTGAAAGGGTGTCTCATCCACCAGGGTCCTAAAGTACAAGGGGGAACAGGAAAATGAAGCAGCTGGGAGCTAGTTCATGGGATGCCCAGGGGTGTGGGGTGCACACATCAGCCTTCAGGCGGCACCATGGTCTCCTGATGGCTGTCACTTCCCACCTTTCTGTATGAGGTAAGGGCTATGTTTATGTTTACAACAGTAAAAACACCTGGATGTCAGGAGGTTCCTGAAATCCCAGGTGAGCAGCTGCATTCAACATCATTCAGTCACTTCTGGGTGGTGGTGGGGATGTGGGGAGGGGCCAAGACAGGGCAGCATCAGACCTCATTCATCACTCACTTCTGGGTGATGGTGGGGATGTGGGATGGGCATGATCAGACCTCAGACAGAGGTAGAAACTCTGTCCCTTAGAGTCACAGTGTCCCCCTCTAGACCAGAGACACTGCGGGGACAGGTCTCCGCAGGAGACAGGACAGCAGACCCCAGCTGACACCTGTGCTCTGTACTGTGATCAGAGGTCACCCAGAACGAACAAAGGCTGGGTGGCCGCTTCCCGGATGCTCAGATGGCTCACCGTTGCCTGAGAATTCTTCTGGATGGACACAGGACCCTGAAGCCACTGGCCCAGAAGAGCCAGGCCCCTGCAGTGGCTCCCAGCCCCAGGCCCTCAGGGGGGAATGATAGAGATTTTCAGCTTCTAACATATCTGAGGCCTTCTGTAGCTGAAGGGGAGACAAGCAACTCTTACTCCTCCTCCTAAGGTCCCAACAACAAGTCCAGCAAGGCACACACGGTCAGAGTTCATCCTGGGGAGCAAACACGATTCTCAGGCTTCCTTACAGAGCCTGGGTGGGAGCTACCAATAGGAATGTGGGTGCTCTCCCCAGGGAGAGCCACCTGGGAAAGTCTTTACCCAGCACGGGGGCTGGCTTCCCCAGAACCACACAGATTGAACTGTGCCTTACCCTCCTCCACCTTTTCGCTCCAGTCCCTCCCCCAAACCCTAGAGGCCCGGAGCAATTAGGGGAGAAGAGCACACAGCTGTTTGGGATATAGAGGAGGGTGGCTACAACTCAGGTGAGGTGCCCACGACCCCTCCCCCTTGTTAAAGGCAAGTCAACAAATAATGAGACACGCTGGGGTGATCTTTTGCAAGCAGGTACAGGGGATCTTTTGCAAGTGAGCGCACAGGAGTCTTTTGCAAGTGAGCGCACAGGAGTCTTTTGCAAGCAGGCACAGGTGATCTGGGGACGATGGCGGCAGTTTGGTTCCGATGATAACCCTACGCAAGACCTTCACAAAGCCATCTAACAGGTACAGCACGACAGAGCCCACAGGCACACGCAGACAAGCTCTGGGCTTCCTACAGGGCAGCACCTTCAAGCCTGAGAATGTGGCTCTCATGGCTCCCTTGTCTCACAGATTGGCTGGGTCCCACCCAGGCCCCCACACTTGCCTACGGGGTTTCCAGGGAGTCACCTTGGGGCACCTTCTCCAGCCCTGAGGCTGGCATACTGTACTGACACCTAGAGAAAAAAATATCACAGGATGCTCACCCACAGCCACCTCTGTACCTATGCCCTGGGGCCTGATAGTCCTGCTGAACCACAAGGTCAGCCCACAAGCTGCCCATAGCCTGAGTGGGGCAGCTGTTGGCTCATGTGAGCCCCTCACTGCTACCACAGTGGCTCTGTTCCCTTGGAAGAAATGTCTCCTGAGGCCCCTGGGTGGGCTTCAGGCACAGATCCAGGCTACTGAGGAAGCTTCCAGCCTCTTCCTGTGTCCCCAAAGCAGAGGGCACCAGCCAGCAGATGTCCCATACATACCAACCCAACCACAGCCTTCTTTAGCCATCAATGGTGTACAGGAATGAAACACTCTTAGACACACGGAAACCAGAGAGGCAGTCCCTGTGTGCAGCCTCCTGACTCCCTCCTGCCCTGATTAGCCGTGGGTCCCCAAGCCCCAAGAGATCATTTCCTTGTCCCACCCCTGCCCATGGCCACCTCCTGGGGTTCTCCAAGGAACACCAAGACCCTGTGGGGGAAAGACAGAGCAACACTGTGCAGGCCTCACACCGGGCACAGCACGGAAGGGCAGAGCAGGTCAAGAACACCGGCTGGTGACCAAAGACAGATCCTTCGGGACACCCTGCCCAACCCTACCTGGATGCAGCGATCTCGGCCTTCTGCTTGGCGATGGTGGCCGCCCCCTCGGCCGCCTCCACAGCCCGGTCCACCTTCTCCCGGATCTTGCTGGCGCGCAGGGGGATGAGGTTCTTCCGCTTGCCACTCACGAGCACGTTCTGCTTGTATTTCCCCTCCTCCTTGGTGCCATCGGGGAAGGTCATGCACCCGTAGCCGTGCCGCCGGTTGCCGACCCACTCGCCCTCGTACTTGAGCCCGTCGGAGCGCTGGCTCACGCCGAAGCCCGAGCGCTTGTCGTTCTTCCACTCGCCCACGTAGGTCTCGGTGGTGGTGGCATCGATGTCATCCTCGATGACGGCCAGCTCGGCCTCGGCCTCACCCAGGCTGATGGTGGAGTGGATGTCGCTGGCCGTGGAGCTCACCGTGCTCATGCCCGCCTCGCTGCGGAAGGAGCTCTGCTTGCTGCGCTGGCTGGCCAGGCTGCTCTTCGACTCGGATTTGCGCAGCTTCAGGCCGCTCAGCAGCGAGCGCCGGAACAGTCCCTTCTTCTTGCTCTTCAGGATCTCGGAGTCACTGTGGGCCACCAGCACGAAGCCGCCGCGGGCCACGGCCGGGCTGCCGGCCACTGCCGGGGAGGCGTCTGGGTGCAGCGCTGCGCCGTTGGTGTGCTCGCTACGCAGGGAGTTGATGGACGTCCTCAGGGGCGAGCGGATGACCGCGGCCATGCCATAGGGGACGCTCTGGCGCACACCGTAGCCCTGGCGCATGCCACCAACCCATTGGCCCTGGTATGTCCCTGGGGAGACAAAGGAGAGAGGGGTGAGCTCCTGGGGCAGGATGTGAGTGACGGGCCTGTGGAAGACCCACATCCACCTGCCCCTCTCGGAACCTCACTGTGAGAGTGAAACCCGGGTGGGTTTACCTGGGCCCAGAGGCAGAGGGGCCATAGCGAGGCTGTAAATTGACCTCACTGATGGTCATATTCAAAGGCATTCCTTCCTATCTTGTCGCCTACGGCTGGGGTGGGGTTTGATACAGAGAGGTGGAGTCCAGAGTGACCCTGGGGAGCCTTCAGAGGGAGGTCACAGAGGTGAGAAAGCATGGCCCCCGCAGGATGCTGAGGGCTGTGAAGCTGTTAAGGGCACAGGCTCACCTTTGGGGGAAGGAGGTACCCACTGTTGCTATAGGAGATATCCCAGGAAGTTTGTCAGTCCACACAGTGGAGACACCCCAGAAGAGCTTCAGGTGCACGGGAAAGGGACATTAAAATTAGCAGGTCACAAACACACAGTAGAATCGGGAGCACAGAAACAGCCCCCTCCCCCGGACATTGCACTGTCCACAGGCTTGCAATGCCTTCAGAGGCCAGAAGAGGACATCAGCTCCCCTGAACTGGGGTTACAGGAGGTCATGAACCACCTAACATGGGTAACGGGAACTGAACTTGCGTCTGTTGGGAAAGCAGTGCACACCTTTAACCACTGAGCTGTCTCTATGGATGCTCTACCTTATCTTTTGAGAAGGGTCTCCCACGGAACCTGGAGCTCACCAGTTTAGGCACACTGGTTGGCCAGCAAGCATCAAGGACCCTTCTGTCTCCACCCTCGGTGCTGCGATCACAGGCACGCACCACACGCCTGGGTGCTGGGCTTGAACTGGGGTCCTCGCACTAGTGACAAGCACAGTACTGACTGAGCCATCTCCCCCAAGATGGCTCTAAAAACAACGAGGGGACACTCAGCTGCGTCTCACCCACCCTCCCACCCCTCAGCTCTCGTCTTGCTTGGTGACCCCTGCAGCTTCCCTATCTGTAGACAGACCAGCTGTCCTTACAGGGCAGACCTAACCTGGACCCAGCAGAAGAGATCACCACGCTGGGAAGGGATCGCCCAGCCCACTCCAGCAGATGCCCTGAGGCTGACACTGGTATCACTCTGAAGCACCAGGAGTCAAACCAAAAGATTTTAGCACAACTTTGGGTCTCTCCTGTGAGACAGGAGAGGCAGGATTTTTTTTTTCCCCTTTTTTCAGATGTGAAATGACTGGGAATCCATAGCAGCTGCCTCCCCTTACCCCTTACTCCTCTCCATCCCAACCCCTCTCCCTACTCTCTATCACCCAGCCCCCTTCCTCATTTACAGACCTCGGAGATAATTGCACACCACTGTCAGGCATGGGCCAGGCAGCGCCACCTAGGGTCCACGCACCGTCATTACTCCTAGCTGTCTTTCCCTTACAGCCCCAACAGTCAGTGGTCCCGGCCTCACCAGGCTTGTTCACAATGCTCTGAGTTCACAGAGCATCTCCTTCACCAAACTTCTCCCACTCAACTCCTCCGGGTCAACCTAGCTCATGTCTCTCTCCAGCCAGTAGCAACACACACCAGGCATTTGGACCAACCATCCACACAACTGCATGGATCCAGGATAGTAGCAGGTCCCTAAATGGCCCAGAAAGAACCTTCCTGGCTACCCAAGCTCCAACTCCATACTCCAGGCATGTAACTCTCTACTGAAATGTGGCTCTCGGCTCAGGACAGACATGCATAAAGTGCCCATCTGCTCAGAGCTTTGGAAAACCTGCCGAGAACTGTGGCTTCCTTGGTGACAGAACACACACTCAACATGAGAGGATCTGGGATCCATGCCCAGTATTACACAGAAAGAAAAAGCCACAATGTCTCATGCCTGCAGTCCCAGGAGTTGGGAGGCTGAGGCAGGAGGATGACGACATATTTGAGGCCGGCTTGACTACAAAGTGAGACGGTATCACAAAACAAATAAAATCACAAAATAGAAGGAGAAAGGGAAGGGAAGAAAAAAGATGGCCAGCAATATAGCAAGATTGGCCTCTCCAGAGCAGAGTCTGAGACGTAGCTAACCATGGCAGTCATACGCAGGGTGGGGTCAGGGAGAAGAGACAGGGTGCAGAGGGTCCTACAGAGAGCACCATGGAATCCGCCCCGCCTGGAGGCAAGGGCAGACATCTGTATTCCCACACTGGTCATTAGGTAGCCTCAAGGCTGGGTTGGGATGGGAGCGCGGCTGCAGCAGTACTTCAGTCTGCTGTCACAAAGGCTGGAATCCGCTGGTCTGAGGGCCAGGCAGGCACCCTCCTCAGGAGTGTAGGAGCCTGAGGACAGGCTTCTGTGAACATCCCTCCTGCAGTCACCCTGCAAGGGCCTCCAACCTGATCTGTAGCCATCCTCATCCATAAAGGACAGGTAGCCTGCTGCCCAGCAGCCCTCTGCCCACAGCAGGGTGCTCTAGGAGACTGGGAGGAGGGGGATGGCAGCTCTCTTGGCCACCGAGTGCATGACACCGAGGGCTCAAGCTGTGTCTGTGGGCTTCGGCCAAGAAGTGATTTTCCCAACTGTTCCGGGGTGGGGGGGGAGAGGCTGTGCCCATGTCACCCAGAGTAAAGAAAACACCAGGGAACTGTCACAGCAGGGACTGTGCCAGCCTGGCCTCTCAAGTGACCACAATGGACACAGCACTGTTGTCCCTGACATGAAAATCACCTGCTGAGCTTGTATTTGAGAAGTGAAACACAACTCTCTGAGGCCCTGGCTCTGACCATGGAATCAGGATTTCAGACGAGTGAGTCCTGTCATCACAGAAGCACATCCCAGTGTCTTAGGGACAAACACAGAACAGGGAGCTAGAGAAACCTTGCGCCTGCCATAGCACACCTAGTCACAGCATGTTCTAGAACCTTCTTTCCTTTCCAGTGGGCCTCTTCCCTGCTATTAATAAAGGCTTTATAACAGTCTGCTACATGGGTGTCTCCTGTCATGGAAGTTACTGCTGGGTCTGACCTATGGGTCCTACCTCATTGTTTTGCTTTACTTACTTCATATTTATTTATTTTGGTGCCAAGGACTGGATTCAGGGCCTTACACATGCTACACACCAAGTTAAACTCTCAGCCTCTTTATAGTAACTGATATTCATGCGTAAGATCAAACCTTGTCCTTAAGACATGTCCCTAGACCTAAACTCCTCAGTCACAAGGAAGGTTTTTCTCAAGGCCTTTGGAAAGTTATCCTCAGAAAAGGCCATCCTCGGGCCATCACCAGCCACAAAGTGACATTCAAAAGCCTCACTCAACTCTGGAGAGCTACCGATAACAGAGTTAGGTATGGACTGGAGCGTGTTTACCCAGGAACTGTGTAGATACGTACTCTTTAAGGAGATGATTAAGCTGGGAAAGAAGTGGGCAAGACAATGAGGCAGGAACCAAAGGTCTCAAAGGAACCAAAGCCCTAGGGTGAAGCCCAAGAAAGCACAAAAGGAGAAGACCAAATACAGAGATGACGGTCTCCCAGAACATAAAGGGTCTGGGTGCTCTGACTGAGGGCCTACATCACACCAATGATGAGGGGGAGGATGTGGCAGTAGGAAGCTTCCAGAAAGACACAAAAGCAGAGCATGCAAGATACACTTTGCTTGGCCAAGCATTGTCGGCACGCACACCTTTAATCCCAGTACTCGGGAGGCAGAGACAGGTGGCGCTCTGAGTTCAAGGCTAGCCTGGGCTACATAAGGAGTTCTAGGACAGCCAATCCTGTCTTGAAAAACTAAAACAAAAGATACACTGTTCAACAGATAGAATGACACAAGACCTTACAGCAGCAAGGCTTCCCTGGTGTGAAACTGTAACCCCCACGTGGCACAAATTCTGAATAAAAATTATTTTCCTTCTGCATTAAACATCAATACATCAAGCAAATGATGAAGCCACAGAAATGTGATCCTCTAGGCATCCTCTCTCAGAAAGCTGCTGCAGGATATTTTCCACCAAAATGAGGGGGGAATCTAAGAATGAGGAAGACATGATGATCAAATAGGAACTAGGGAGAGATGCTCCAGGGTGAGGGCTCTGGGAAGAGACCTCAACCTGTAAACAGACTTGAACTTGTGTGGTTAGAGGCAGAGACTCCCACAGGTGAGAGAAAAGCTGCATTGAAAGACTTTCTTATTGAGCATCTGAAGGGTGGGGAAAACTGACCAATGATTTAAATAAAACAATGCAATTAAAAAAGAGTCAACTGCTAACTCAAACTGTGCATGGAAAATGAACATGGAAAAGGAACATTGCTTGGCTCAGCACTAATCCAGCTTGCAGTTGCAAGGACGAAAAACACTGAGCATGGATTCAGCTTTTACACTGTGCTATAATGCTGGGATGGCCAGGGAAGGGGAAAGGAAGGGAGAAAAGGGCAGAACAGGGGAGCAAGAGTCTGAAGCGCTCTGTCTTCTGGGGTAGAATGTTGAAGATTTGACACCGAAAACCCTAGACAGTCAGAGTCAGCCTCTGAAGGAATGTGATGTCCAGCTGTGCAATGTGGCACACCTGATTGTCACGGCTTGCCTGAACTCACAGCACTGTCCCGGCTCTACTACTTACAGTCTTCATAAAACCGTGGGGGCATGTGATCTCAGAAGGGAGTAGGGACGGAAGGAGGCCAGAAGACTGACCAGAGGAAAAGAGCCACCAGGCGAGAGTCAGACAACAGGGGGAGGAAGCAGGATGGTGACCAGAAGGTGGACAGTATGCAGGACACGTGCATTGTGTTTGCATAACACAAGCATGGTCAGAAGGGGTCGCAGGCAAGACCAGAGGCCAGTGGGGCTGCGAATACAACCCATCCTCACCCCCATGCCGCCTGAACGAGAGCTTCCATGAACAGCACAGGACAATGAGCTTGAGGATCCACCGGTGTGATCCTCCTGAGCCTGGGGGAGAACGAGACTGAGATGCGGTTAGCCATGGGAATGACAGGCTACACCGTAG